TTTTCTGGAAAACCCACATTGCTGGGTGTTGGTGAGCTCAGCTGGGTGACATACAGGAATATCAAAGCCCTCATCATCCCTGTATTCAACACAGCCTACTTGTTAAAAGGTTTCTGTGGTGTATTCTGACTTTCATCTCTGCATTTCAGGTACCAGCCAGCTGACCTCTCCCCCTTCCCAGGCGGAGTCCTTGCTTGCCATGTTCGACCCTTTGTCTTCTCATGAAGGTAATCTCACAGATAACCCCTGTTCTGCTACTTTCCTTAGCTGCAAAGTTTCTCTCTGTGTTTAACGTATATGCTAATGTGGCTGTTTCCTTCAGCAGTGGTGAGACCTAAAGTGCACTATGCAAGGCCTTCACATCCCCCACCAGATCCTCCAATCCTGGAAGGAACCCTGGGAGGAAACGATGCTAGATTACCCAATTTTGGCTCCCACACTGCAATCCTCATTGACTCTGAGGCCTTCAAGCAGCGGTACTCTTATCCTGAAAGACTTGTGCGAAGCAGGAGCTCTGATATTGTGTCTTCTGCTCGGAGGCCAATGAGCGATCCTGGCTGGAACAGGCGAGCTGGTAATGAAGAGAGGGAACTTGCTGCACCTGGTGGCAGCATAGGAGGAGCAGCCTTGATCACAGGTCCTCAATCCTCTTCCTCATCTCCCAGCAAAGATTATTGTAGAGGAGAGGTAAGCATAGACAGATGAAGACAGATGAAGGGATCTTGTAGCACTTTTCAGACTAACTGAAAGAGAAAAGATGGTGCATGAGCTTTTGTAGACTTGAGACTACATCATCATGAGAGAAAGTGCACATTTGAAGAAAAAGCAGAAGAAAATAAGTTGGGTCTGGGTTAAGTTGAATTTGATCCCCAGTGAAATCACTGGTATAATCATACTCATCATGATTGAAGTACCATTTATTTCAGTGGGAACTTACACTGGAATCCTCTGAACATCTAGTCAGAAGCAATCCCCATCAATTTCTGTGGGCTTTTCTCCTGGGAAGAATTTATGAGATTGTTTCCTAAGTAATTTAACAGCAGCACTACATATTTGCCTGGGAGTAAGTCCAATTGAATTCAGTAGGATTTTGTTTAATAAACATGAGTAGATTCCACCCTAAGTTTAGATAAGAGTCTGATATGTTTCTCTTCAACAGATAGAGGACAGGAAGGACAGTGATGATGAAAAATCTGATCGGAACAAGCCATGGTGGAGAAAACGCTTTGTTTCAGCTATGCCGAAAGGTGAAACTTTATGTTTCAAGCTACTTGTTTCCTCTGTACTTTTTCAAATACAAAGTGATAGACTCCAAATGACTTGCAAAAAATGGACTGCATTTTATACTCCGTTGGAATGTGAGTTATAACTTCGTAAGAATAGACAAGCAAATATTAATGTATTTTTTTAGTAGTATTGCTTAAAATGACAGCAGTATGTATGAGAACAGATTTTAAAAAGCAAACCATCATTCTGGGTTGATTTTTTTTAAAAGTCATGAAAAGATTACTCTTTGGCATATCTTTTGGGGGTGAGTTAGTGGAAATAGTTAAAACTGATAAGAAAGAAAAATCCTTACCTTTCTTTAAAAACAATTCATATCTTTTCTCATTTTACTGATATTTTTCACAAGGACAAATTTTTGGTCCCTCAACTCGCTGACAATAAGGGAGGTATTTTCCTTCCCCTTCCAAGGGAAGAGTAATATTATGCAAAACATTTTTCTCTTTTAACATGAATACTTAAACTGTCTTTGTGCACTTCTGGATTTTCCCCCTTCCATCTTTTATATATATTCATGTAGGAACCAAGCTGTTGGGCAGTTCTGCTTTTAAATTAAAATATTACTCAGCCTCATTTCCTTTCTCTTCAATCACAGCTCAAATCCCATTTAGAAAAAAAGAAAAACAAGATAAGGACAAAGATGACTTTGTGCCTGACCGATATGGTTCCCTTCAAGGTATGTAACTCATATTTCTTAGCTCTTTAATGCTTTCTTCTCCTAATATGAATCTAACTGAATTAGATCTTTTAAAGAGAGTGTTAATCTCAGCTCAGCCCTGGAAACCTGCTGGGTGACCTTGGGCAAGTCATACTCTCAGCCTCAGAAGAAGTCAAGGGCTTAACCCCCTCTGAACAAATTCTGTGATAGGTTTGCTTTATTGTTGTGTTATGCCTTCACGTTGTTTCTGACTTATGGCAATCCTAAGGTGACCCTATCATGGGGTTTTCTGGGGCTAAGAGTGCATGACTTGTGGAAGGTCATCCAGTGGATTTCCATGGACGTGCAGGAAATTGAACCCTGATTTCCAGAGGTAGTCCAACACTCAAACCACTGCATCACACTGGCTCTCAGGTTTACCTTAGGATCATCATAAGATGGAAATGACTTGAAGACACACAAGAACAACAACAGGCATAAAACAGACTGGCAGAGGAGGGACAAGGAGACATCCATATGCCTGCATAATAGAAGGCATTTTTGCTGCTTGCATGTTGACTGAAGGAAGAGGCTTCTCAATCATTTTCAATTCAACATGGCGTTGCAGACTATTAGCAAACTACTCGCCTCTGTCTATTCTTCTTTCCTTCTGTTTTTGCAGGCTATAAGTCTTATAGGTTTATTTATAACACTGTGTTGAAACTTTGACAGCCAGCATGGTATAGTGGTTTAAGCACTGGACTAGGACTCTGGAAGACCATGGTTCAAATCTCCGCTCAACTGTGGAAACCCACTGAGTGACCTTGAGCAAGTCATACACTCTCACTCAAAGGAAGGGAATGGCAAATTCTCTCTGAATAAATCTTGCCAAGAAAACCCTGTGATAGGTTCGCCATAAATAGGAAACAACTTGAAGGCATACAACAGCTGTTGAACCTGTTCCTTTGACATGCTAGTTTTCTGTGTAAAGGGAATTTGTGGGGTCCTCTCCTCACTTGGTAAGCATTCAGATATTCATCTCCTTCACATGTAACCAGAGTGGTACAGTCCAGGGAATGTCACACCACCTGAATCTGCTGACCTTAAACTAGCTATTAAGTTTATTTGTCCTGTTCAGTTCAACAGAAAAAATAGTTGACAGCATGTATCTCACACATACGTGTGCACAGAATTTTGTTTGCTGCTCCTGCTAGCTGACTGGAGATTCTATCTGAATATTTCTGCCATAACATTACTATTTCTAAGACTGTTTGACCCCTAATGTTTCCCACAGATGACATGAAACTGATTCAGGTTTTGGTCATCTTTGGAAATGGCAAATATTAAATTGTATTAAATACAAACTCCATTTGTTTGCTGACCACTTTGTTTGGATGTATTTGCAAGGAGCTGAATTTACTAATCCCATGCTTAAAAACTATTTTTTAAAATCAGAAAGCACACCAGTTGGATTAAAATATGTTAGCATGTATGTATTTTCAGAGGAAATAAAACACTGAAATGCTGGGCACGGATGAGTTTTTCAAAGTTTTGTGCTTGGATGATTTTACTGTAAACCTCTTTGAGTGTCTGAAGTGAGGTATAAACCTTGTAAATAAAACACTCTTTCCTCAACTCTGTTTCTACAGCCATCTTCCCCACACATCTGATTCAGGGGAAAGTGAAATGGCCTCTCTGCAGGCTTGGTGAGACTCTGGCGGCACATCTGTGTTCTCACATGCAATCATGTTGGTAGCTGCTGCATGACTCCACCCGGCGCATGATGCCTTTAGTATTTGAAACCACATTAGTGAGACACAAGCATTAATTCCTCTGGTTGTTGTGATGATGATAATAATAATAAATCTTGTTTTGTGTTTCAGATGATCCTGGTCCAAGGCTGAGCGCTCAGGCCCAAGCTGCAGAAGACATCCTGGATAAGTACAGGAATGCAATCAAGCGCACCAGCCCCAATGAGGGGGCTGTTGTGAGTTATGATAGTACAGGTGAGAGTCTCTCTCCTTCTCTGGCTCAGGCACCATAAGTTTCAGAAAAGAGCTGGGGAGGGGGGCATAAACAGTTCAAAACCACTTCCTGCTTGAATGTTAAGAACTGAGAATGGGGTCTTTTCTGTGTAAATGATGTGGAGATGCAAGACAGGGCCTTCTGAGCATTGACATCCTACTTGTGGAAAGCCCTCACCTGGAACCATATTAAATCTTGGTGTTCACCCAAGATTAGAACCTTAGTGGTGATAGCTTGATGTCAGTCTCTTACATTGTGTGTATTACTTTGATTATAATGAAGGCTTCTAAACTTGGTTAGAACTTACTTTTAAAGTTGTTTTATTGATTGTACCCCACCATGAGAATTTTGCAGGTCAATTTGGTTTCTGTCCAGCCCATATAGGGAAGAATAGAAATATTACAATAAATAAAATAAAAGAGAGTTGCTAACCTGCCAATAATGTGAGCAAGCTAACCATTCAAGGGTTACATGGTGGGGTGTGTTTAGATACCATTGGAGATGGTGAGAGCATCCATGACTCTCCACGGGATGACGCTTTGCAGAACATGTCTGCGGATGACCTTCCAGATTCTGCCAGTCAAGCAGCACAGCCCCAGGATTCTGCTTTCTCATACAGGTAACTTAATCATGTAGACTTGTGAGATGTTATTAGGGGAGAGGAAAGGAACTTGAGAGCAAGGCTAGATTCAAACATGGCCTTCGAATTCAACATTTGTGCAGGAGGGGAGAATCCTCTGCTTCCTTTGTAGTGATAAGTTTGTAAGGATCTGGGTTTGCAAAGATTCAGGTTCAAATTCCCATTCAATTGAGAATTTCACTGGTTGACCTCCAGCCAGTAACTTTCTGTTAGATCTCAGCCATTTCTAAGGATAGTCAAACCCTTTCCAGGTGGTGGTGTTGTATAACTTCAGGTTGTTTCTGACTTATGGTGACCCTATGGCGAGCCTATCATTGGGTTTTCTTGGGAAGATTTGTTCAGAGGGGATTTGCTTTTGCCTTCCTCTGAGGCTGAGAGAGTGTGATGTGCTCAAGCTCACCCACTGAGTTTCCATAACCAAGCGGAGATTTGAACCCTGGTCTCCAGAGTTGTAGTCTAACATTCAAACTGCTAAACCATTCTGGCTCTCATCCCTTGAACTCCTTGGAGCAAAAGGTGGAATATGAATTTTATAATAATAGATGGACTCAAATGCAAAGGAAACTTGAGTTTCCCTGATGTAGAAGGTCAGCTTGGACACCTTCTGGTGTATGAGCCAGTAGAAGAAACTGACAACACATTTTCTAAAGTCTTGACTGTTGAGGGCCAGGGACCTGTACTGGTTCTTTGCATCAGGGATGATTCCACAGCATACATCTCCTGATGCCCTCTTGCAGCAGTGTTGTAAGGATTTGGGTGAAGACCTTACACATCGTCTTCTAGGCAGTTGCTCAAAAGATAACTTCCTTCCCTTTTTCTGGAGTGAGACATTAGTAGGTTTGTTAAACTTGGAAAATGTTTGTGCAAGGCACTGATCTCAGTAGTAAACTCTCCCTCTTTTGTTAGAATCTGTCATCGAAATGTTTAAATATTGCTATTTCTGTCAGTGCCAGTAAGTATCAGCAGTTATATTGCTGGGCTGGGAACAAGGAAGTAAGGATTCTGTACTTGGCATTAATTGATGGATCTTGAGGTTTTCACTAAAAAAGTAGATCCAACCAGTCTGAAATCTGCCCCCATTCTCCATATTAATTATCTGAGGATATACAGAAAATCTTGCTGAGTTCAGTTGAGACCCACCTGACCCAACCATTTCTTCAAGAGTGACTTTTATGCCCGAGATGAATCATCATTAGATGTTTGTCTGTAGATTGTGATCTACCCTCTATTCAATCCTGATGGTAGTAGAGTGGCTACTGTAATGTAGTGGTTAGAGTGTTAAATTAGTACCTGGAAGATGTAGGTTGTAATGTTGTTGAGCCATGAAATGTTCAGGGTGACTTTGGGCCATCACTGTCTGAAGCTGATTGTGAGGATGAAGTGGAGAATAGAGACATGTGCTTTGCTTGAATTCATAGAGTGAAAGATGGGATGTACATGAAAGTAACACACATCATTATAATAGATTATATTCAAGGAAAATCCAAATCTTTTGTTTCCCGCAGGGATGCAAAGAAGAAATTACGACTTGCGCTCTGTTCAGCAGACTCTGTGGCCTTCCCCATGTTGTCTCACTCGACACGGAATGGCCTTCCAGACCATACAGATCCTGAAGGTAAAGCCTTTAACTTGCCTATCTTTACTAATTTTGTCAGAACTAAACTTGAGAGAACTGAGGCACACGTTTTCCACTTAAATTATAGTGGGAGGTACATCACCCTCAAGCTGCCAAAACACACCAACACTTTAGTTCTGAAACATAAAAGAGAAGGTTTTAGACAAGGAGGTTGAGTAAACATCTATAGATGGCTAGATGCAGCTTCTCCATGGTTAGATTAATTCGCCTCTGACCATGTGAGAAATTTTGCTTGTAGGTTTCTCAGAAGCCTCTGCTTGGGTAGTGTAGAAACAGAATGCTTGCAATTTTTTATACCTTTCTCTAAATAGTATTCACTTAAGTCCGTAGTAGTTGTTTTGAACAAATCATATTTTCTTTTTAAGCAGAGTATTAAGAGCCAGTGTGGCATAGTGATTTGAGTGTTGGACTTGAGCTTTGGAGACCAGGATTCAGATCATTGCTCGGCCATGGAACCACATTGGGTGACCTTGGGCAAGTCACACTCTCTCAGCCTCAGAGGAAGGCAAAGGCAAATTGCCTCTGAACAATTCTTGCCAAGAAAACCCTGTGATAGGTTTGCCTTAGGGTTGCCATTAGTTGAAAACAACTTGAAGGCACACCACCATCACCACCACCACAACAAATAAAGACTAGTCCCAGCTTCTGCCAACTTAGCAGTTCGAAAGCATGCAAATGC